AGATACAATTATAATGCACATACATATATATTGTATATATTTATTTATAACGGTTCGAAAATGGAAAACCAGAACAATATACTTCAGTCTCACAAAACAAAAAGTTGAAGCCCTCTTATAGCGAACCATATGGCGACTTAAACAAATCATGTTAGTAACTTTTATTTCCGTATTCAAACCGTTTTTATATTTATTTATAACAAGTTTTTTGTGAATGGAATATTTTGTTAATTTTTATATAAAACTCTCATTGCAAAATCTTTGAAGAGCTAAAGTTCAATATACTTTTTCATTATTAAATTTCAATTTTAATTTTAAATGAAATGATTATTATTTTTATCAATTTGTAATGAATTAATTTTGTCTCGTAATATTTATGTATTTATAAACAAATTAATTGTTGTAAATTGGGTAAATGTTATACAAAAGAATTGGTATGAAGATAAACATATCTTCCTAGTAGTAATTAGGAGTTATATGGGAACTCGCTTTGAGAACGTTTCCGACGAATGTAACTCTTAAAACCACGACAAGTTTTAAATCTCAGTGTTTGGGTGATATCTTTCAAATTTATTTATTTAAAAAAAATGTTTAAAATATAATACCTACAGAGTACAGATATGACAAAGTAGTAGAAAGGAGATAATCTTGAAGATATAACAAAATTAGTTGAAAACATATTTCCTCATAAGTTTATCATTATCATTCTTTTGTTTAGAATTAACTAAATCCTTTATATGACAATCATAAAGAAATTTTTATGGCTGACAGAAAATATCATTTTCAACCTGCTGAATAATATCAATATGATCGGACAACAATCTACATTATCAGAGTTAAGTGGTTTAAGTACTAATTATTTTAATTAGTTATTATGAGATTAATAGTCAATCTGAATGAAGCCGACCAAAGTGGTGTTGCTTGAAACTAGTAGAAAAACTTCAAACTGCACATTTGTGACACTATGTCACAAGATCTGCAGGTAAATTATTGCTAAGATCTAGTCACTGATCGTATCGTATGTATCAAATATATCTATTGTTTTTGCCTAACAACTTATGTCTAATTTATTTGAAAGACTAAGAAACTCCACACTACCGATCCTATGTTTACTCAACTGCTCAATGCTAAATTTAAATTTAATCCATTCACCACCAGTTGAATAATATAATAGACTTGCTATAATTAATTGATATACGTATTCGTATAATATTTTACGTAAATTTTATATATTTTATACAATTTTAATGGAATTAAAATAATAAAATTTTAGAACCAATTTTTTTTTTGCCTAGAAATAAAAACGTGAACTTGAATATTTCATATGATTTGCTTTCCACCGTGAGATCGTATGAGACTAAAATCCACTAAAACCACTGAAGATTGCAGTCATGTACACCGAATGCACACCATTCCATTACTTAAGGGCAGAGAGGAGAACAGATAGGGTTAATAATTAGCAAGCTTAATTAATCTAAGCCAGAAACCATGGACTAAGTTATATGGTTGTTGGGCATTATTGCGAATGGAGAACGTGGGCGCAAACTTGTGGGGAGTCTAGCAAGATACATTTCTGCACTTAGCTAGGCATTGTTAGTACTTAAGAGAATGGAATACCTTGCGGTCAAAGGCAATGCCTAACAGTTCTAAAGATGATTAATTTTCATTCACCGATTAATTTAGTCCGGCTATATGTATTTATTTGTGAACTATTTTATTCTCTTACTACAATAGTGGCATTTAGTACAATATTAAATGATTAAGTAAGGTTACACATTGATATGTTTATGAGATAGCATTTGGTTATTATAATTTTTGGGAATTTTTTATTTTAAGTGTAAAGAAAAGCATAGACTAATGTAAATCCCCATAAGTTTGTTTTTAACGTAATTAATTTAAAATATTCGTTTGACTGAATATTCAATATTATCACTTATATGGAATTAAAATAATTATGATGATAATCATATTCGTAATGTATTTGATAAGTACAATAAAAATTATAAAATAAACAATAAAATATTATTAAAAGTTTTTATAAAATTCATATTTATATTATCATGTGTTAAACAAATCCGAGTTTTTTTGCTCTATCAATTAATGAAGTTATTTCTCAACTCACCTAAAATTACCCATGCATTACTTTTTGTTCAAAATTTACTCCAATATACAATATATAATTATATAGAATATTTCCACAGTAGAATTTTTTTGTTAATTTTTTTTTTAATTGTTTTGTTAAGTTGTGAACAATTGTTGCTTAGAATGATAAAAGTGTGATTTATGTAATTATCACTTCATTAACGTCATTCTATTATGTCATTAAAATGTTTCTTTATTCATAATTTATACGATTTTAATAGATGTTTTCTTTTGTAGTTAAAACTACAAAAAGTATATTAAACAATTTTTTATACGTTTGTCATTACTAACGAATTTTGCAAATACTTTTAGTAGGTAGAAATTTTTATTTCTCAGCAATAATTTTACTTAACGACATTTGTTCCTTAAGTTCATTTTTGATATACAATACTTGAAAAAGAGGTTCAAAGTTAAACTAAATGTATTATGAACTGAAAGATAATAGCTTTATAAAACATTTTTACACATAGTATACAATACGTATATGTTTGCAGAGATAGTTGTTACGAACAGATGAAGTATTTAGTAGTTTTTATATTGTAATAAAACGGAATGATGTAGTCTTATTTGACCACCGTACTTATTTAGCTACCCGTAGTTTTTAGATGTGATAACCCGAAGTTATACATAAGAGAAATTTCTACAAAACAACACGAGTTGTGTGGCATCATCACATTAAGAGCATATAGAAATGGGACCCCCCTCGGAATAGTAATAAAACTATTCGCGTGGTAACAAGTGCCTGTCATAAAAGACGACTAAAATCCATTAAGTACCACCATGTACTATTTTGGAGTATAACTGATAATAAGTTATCACTTCCTACATCCCACCAGAAGTTAAGTCTAATATCATGCGATTCAGCTACTTTGGTAGTCTTGGACACTAAATTGACTACGTAAGACAATATTGTGATGGCTGTGCTTAAGCCCTAAAGTTACATAGGAAGAGTGTTACCATTTATGCTAACATTTTTGCAATCGGTGTTGTATTTGTTCCAATGGCTACTGTTACTTAAAGAACAACAATATATAGCATTTTCTCGATACGTTTGTTACGAACACAGAGGTGTGAAGCTAACGGGACTGGAAATCTTATAAAACAACTATGAACTCATCAACGAATCGTCAAATCAACTCGAATCAACGGTTCGTCACACCTCATATTTTTTAGAAAATTATGGTCCTAATATACTTCCAGATTAAATTCCACACCAAGCAGCGGGTTTTTCTGAGTGTACTGTTTTTTTGAACAGTTACTTGCAGATAATCAAAACTTTCACTGCCATAGATACGACAGCACTTGTATGTTCATTGGTTGAGTTGGTATTAATGATTTTTTTACTCTTTAGCGTGGGTTTGTATGTTATCAGATAAAGTTTATAGTCTTAGCTTGCCAATATTTGAAATTAGTATTCGTTTGGTATATAGACGCAAGTCTTAATTTTAAAGATCTTTTAAATTTCTCAACACTTCGTTGTTTTTTAAGAATATCTACCAGTTGGATATATATTCCGGATTTCAGCATGGTTTAGTTGTTTCATTTTGTTTTTAATAATTCAATAAAATAAATGTGATTTAATTATATGGAACTATTTTACAATTGAGAATTTAAACCATTAATGAAACATAGTTTCAATAGAAATAATACAGTTTGGCCTATATTTGGCACACACATGCTCCAGATAACTGTTATTATGAAAACAGTATTTTCACTTCAGAAAATTTGCTTTACTCAACAACTAAAATATTTTAATATATCATAAATTTATTATATGTAAATGAAACATTTTTTTCTACTTTCAAAAAAAATTTCATTAAAAATTTTAAAAACTTCATCCAAATAAATTCAAACTAGATTTGATAAAAATTTAATTGTAATAATTTGATAGATAAATAGTTTTCTTCGATAGACAGATAATTTCAATCAGTAGTTTTTATTTTAAACAATTTGGATTTGAGAGGGGCCCCTGGAAGTGAAAAAGTATAAAATCATTACTTCACCATGTCATCAAAGCTGAATTTGAGAAGAATGGGGCAATTTCCAAACGCCAGTGTTATTGATTATTGCTCGCCCTTTTTATAACTGCAATTGACTATATTATTGTTTCATTTAAATTTGATCATTTGAATAAATAAATAATAGATATTTTTTTTAGCTGCTTATTTCTTTGTTTATTTAATTTTATTTTCACAGTTTAAATACAGAATCATTTATTTTCTCTTCTTTAAAATTGGCATCACATGATTTGAAGCTTTTCCATGAAAATTCGTTAAAAATATAAATATGTTTATTTTCGCTTTTATAAATATATGCTTTCTTTTATGTAAATAAATATTTTTCTTTCGAATAACAATATTTAAATATGAAAATTCTTTTTACTTATAATATGTATGAATTTTTTTATTAAAAAATATGTTTTGAACATTTTGCAAATATGTATCTCAAAAGTGCATCAAAATTCGTCTCAAAGTGAAAAGGTGAATGTTTTTATTTTTTTTTTATAATATATTTAAATGTTAAATTATTTAAAATAATATTATTTTCTTATGTTAAAAAAAATATATTAAGTTATTTTATTGGAACGGTTTAACTATTCGCTTTAATAAAAAATCTTTGGGTTCAAGAAGAAAACTGTTGTTGCGTTTTGTGCTTAATAAGATTTATATTAAGGATGCTTCATTTTTTGCATTTTTATATGAAGGATTTAAATGACAAACCTTTATTTATTATTTCTATAATTTTTATTTGTAATTTGATATCCGAAGAGAACGGGTATTCGTCAAAAATTAGTTTTTCAAGCCCCTAATTGAGTAGGTTTGTTTTTTTTAATGAAAATTACTACAAATTAAACAGAAGTAAAAATTATTATGTCTGCTATATTCTAATAAAATTTTACTATTAATTAAAGTTATTTCACGAGTATCTTGACTGTGTCTCTAAAGTTAAATGTGTACCATGTGTATATTTTGTATGACAACTGGAGAATATGTATTATCATTTTCATAAACTGTGGCTCTTCAGCTACAAATAGGATCTTTGAAAAGTTGGACACAGAAGGTGGTAGTTATAGCGTGTTGTTGCTTTCGTGGCTGAAGATATTTAATTTTTATTTGTATAGTATTGATTTACTTATGAGGAAATATAAAAGGTATATATTAGTTCGCATTGAAGATACTCATGAAAACTACCAATGCATAGTTTGTTTTTGTTAAAATGATAGTACGAAAGTTCTTAAAATAATAATAGCCAAATCTAAAACTATGGAAATAGTCAACTAAATTTCTACAATAGCACTAAAGGAAGAAGATAGCCATAGTTTCCTAAATTATGTATATAGTAAAATTGCTTTAAAGCAAATCTAATTTAATTATATTTTATTATTTTTTATTTATTTTATTTTGTACGCCTAGTATACAATAATTCCATTTATCTGTAGGTACTTCAGTTGCGACTTATAACTTTCTTATTCAATTCAAAAAAAATTTCTCATTCTTAAATATCATCTTTATCCTTAAATTTAAAACTATAATTTAAGCCCTTTATTTAAGCTATTTTGTGCTTAGTTTCAACAAGTTTAGTTTAATTTGTTTCGTTTGACAAAAAATAGTTCATTTATACTAAAAACTATGTCTCGATCTATACCTAACCGATATTTGCTTATAAACAAATCACATTTTATTTATCTCAACATTATGCATTGCAATATTTTCTACCTTTTTCGTGCTATACAACTTTAACAAGACAATTCATCACTTAGTTTGCTAGAATATAAAGTTAAATAGTTTTTATCTCATAGAAATTAATTTAGTTCCTTTCGTAGTTTCTTTAAAAGTTTTAAAGCTTTACGTTTAATTTTAAATCTATAGTATAACGAATTATGCTAACTCTTAAAAAAAGAAAAAAATCAACGGATTAGAATATAAATTTATCTAATGACAACCGTAAGGTTATTAGCTTTAACTTAATAAACAATTTGCTCAAGTTCTTAAAGAAAACTTAAGAACCATATAGCTAACAATAAATTATAAAACAGAACAGCAGAGCAGATTTTCAGATAAACTATCTATGTTAGCTCATTACGTCCGAAGAAACTCTCCCACATCATCAACTTTTTCATATCTGGCACATCGATCACTTTCAAATCATCTGATATATTAAGGCACTTAGGCTGCCGTTTCTCAACAGCTACATGTGTTAATGGTTGCCATAATTCGGTTAGTTCAGGATCAAAGTTTGGATTTCCATAGGTAGCAAAATGTGTCCACATGCCGACCAATTTTTCAATACATTTGTACTCTCTGCTGGTTTTCTTCAACTTACGAGCTACTGAATTGTAAAAAAGATAGGAGAGATCGTCACCATGACAAGTGCCACGTACTTTTTTTCCACAACTCAATATGCGTAGATGGTTAAAATGTTTAGAGTCGAAATCGAATCGATATAAAAATGTGGGTACATCTGGAGCATGCTCCATGCGCGATAATACTGTACGGTATATTGGAAACCAGAAATATTCATGTGAGACCATCTGCAAAAAGTTATAGAAGAAATTTTAAAGCAATGTTTAATTTATTTTTTGAAAATGTGCTTACCAGTAAATATTCATGCAAAGTCTCTAAGCTAGGATCTTTTTCACCATAGTACGTCTTTCTTAACTGTTGACCATACTCTTTGCAAAGTTCACTATCACGATCCATATTAAGTTCCATTGGGACAACAAAACGGCAGTCACCCAAATCATTCAATAGTTTTGGATTTGTTTTAGTTTCTAAAAAAAAGAGAATATGAAATGAGTATATTTTTTAGATTTTAGTTATAAATTCTATATAGAGAAATTTTGAAGTCGTAATAAAAAATAGTCAATTTAATAGTAAATTGGAAAAGTTGAATAAAGTTATGCTAGTTACGCATTTTACTTAAATATATTCTATAAAATACGTCATATTCGAAAAGATTTATTTATTCAATTAAGACACTCTGTTTTATTTTTTTGTCACTTTATATCTATATCAATGAAAATTGTTTTAACATAAAAATTTTTATGAACTTTAATAAATTTAAAAAATGTTTACTATTTTCATCTCTTACCTGTATATAAAAGTAATCCCTCATTTGACACTCCACCGATAATCATAGGAATTTTATTACTCCAAGCAGTTCGCATTAATTCAATTGGTTTCTTAGGTACCACGCAATCTGGTGTTAAATAAGGTTCAATAACTGGACCAAAAGCAAAACCAATTCTTTCGCGTTTTTCCTCATCCATACATAGGTCTTCATTTGCTCTCACAATATCAGAACCCTTTGCTGTACGCAAAAATTCATAAACATCTTTTTCATTATTTTCACCTGTATAACCAGCACCAACAGCTAAGCGATATGGCCAATTCCTTTGCGGAGTTACAGCCCAGGGTGATAAAGAATTACCGGACATACAGATCGCTTTATGAAATAATCCTCTAGTCTGTTCTGTTATCATCATATAATGACAAGAAGCACCACCGGCACTATCACCAAAAATAGTAATATTACTCGAATCACCACCAAAACGATCACAGTTAGCTTTAACCCAACGTAAGGCCATGACTTGATCTTTTAGACCAGCATTGCCGGGAACACCGAAACTAGGATCCTCCATACATAGGAAACCTGTTAAAGCGTATAGATGTTAATATAAAAATAACATAATTGTTGTTATATTATTTATATGTTGTAATATTATAAAAACTCACCAAAAGGACCTAAACGATACGTAATAGAGATCATAACAACATCCTCACGTAATAAATAATCGGGACTATATAAATCACGTGAAGCTTCACCAAATTGAAAACCACCACCAAATATCCAAACCATGACCGGCATGGGTTTTATAGGATTTAACTGAAAATAAAATCAAAGAACAAATAATATTTAGATTACAATTTATACATAGATTAAGTGATCACAAAGGTATACATAGATAGGTATTTACAAGATTAATTTATTATATATGTATTACCATATTATGTATTTTATACCTTATATGTTAAGTATATGTGCTTTCTATTATTTTTCAAAATTTCAACTCACATTTTTTGTGTAAACATTTAAGTACAGACAATCTTCTGAACCTTCAGTCATTTGAAAGACAAAATGTTTTTGCAGCGGCTTTGGTCCCATGGAAGTGCAACTTCTTACTTCTGTCCATACCTCTGGAGGTTGTGGCGCTTTGTAACGTAACTCACCTACTGGTGGTTTTGCAAATGGTATCTTTTCGAAACTGAAATACGACTGGCCATAAATAGACTTCCGTTTAACTCCTTTTACGGGACCATAAATTGTACTAACTATAGTCTTTTCGCTGGTACGGTAGCGACGTTGTTGTACTTTAAAGTCGACCATTCTGAAAGAGATAAAAAATTCTTTATTTAAAAATTGTTTTCTCTATTTTAAATTCAAGAGAATTGTTATTCATTATGTAATAAGATGTTGCTATATACTATGGAAAAAAATATTATCCGTTCTGTACTACTTATTTTGAGTCGAATTTTAGGTTTTTAAAGAACCATTTGGTCTGTAGTTTTATTTTTGACAATATAAATGGATAAGAGTCACACATGTAGTATTCTTCTCCTCGGTTATGGACAATACTTTTGTGGAAGCTGTTCTGAGTTTAAGAGAATTTATAATTAATGTATTGAATAACTGTACTGTGTTTTAATAATTGTTTAAAAAAATATTTGATTAAAATTTTAATCTAATATATAATATATTATATATAACATATAATACATAATTCAATATAATTTTAATTAAATATCTTTAAATGCAATTTATAAAATTCAGTATGGATGTTCAATCGATCAATTCTCTGGGCTGACTCAAGGAAGAAATTGTCAGTGTCTGGTCTGTTGGCACGCATATAGATAAACTAAAGTAGATGTATAGGTCAGCTCACATACCCAGCGGGACTTTCAGCGCTGATTATTCAAAGGAAACTCCTAATTACTTTAACACGTGCATGTCATTGCGGGCAAGCGCTGAGTCGTTCGGTTACCTTTTCGTATTTGTAATGCAACATATCAGCGCTGACATGTTCGCTTACTTTTTCAAATTTGTAATGCAACATATCAGCGCTGACATGTTAGCTTACCTTTTCGAATTTGTAATGCAACATATAAGCGCTGATATGTTCGCTTAAATTTTCAATTTTACCTATGCTATTGATTTTTAAATACAATACTAAAAATTTTTTTGGATGAATTATATTTTATATTTATGTTTTATAAAATCAAAATATTAATATTTACATAAAAATATATAATATATTTATATATCATATTAACTTATTTACATTTTAAATTATTTATATATAATTATTTACATGTTAATTTATTTAAATATTATCTCATTTACATATTAAATTGTTAACATATTTTCATATTAATTTATTTAAATATTAACTTATTAATATCACCATTAATATGTTCAGCTGTACTGCAGGAAGGTGTTGTTTTCGTACCAAAATTTTGAAAATAATTTTCTATAAAAGAATAAAATATTTTAATAAATGCACGATTAAAATTCCCTGTTTCATTTATACCTTCTTTTTTAAACGATAAAAATTCCTCCTTTTTCTTTTTCACCAAACATTTATAATGTCTTACAGTATGCATCTATATAATACAAAACAAAAATTATAATTATCATTTTAAATATATTTACTTAAATTTGCATATACTTACAGTGAGTTTGTGTTAAATTACAAATTATATTTTATTTATATTTTTGATTTTATTTTGATTTTAAAAATCAAAAATTGTTCACTGCACGCACTTCACTAAAATCAAAAGCAGACTAAATGTATACAATGTAGGCAAAACAAGAAATTCTTAATACTCATATGCTTTTCTTCTTCATTCTTTTATAATTTCAACCCCGAAATTGCCTATGTCGAACACAAATGTCGAAAACAAAGAAAAATAAAAACGAAGAGCTATTACCTCCTCGCTTACTTTTTCAGCGCTGGCATAATGGTGCTGCTGGGTAGTCACACTGATGAATAAATACTTTATGTGTTCATGTCGTCTTAATTGTGTTTGCAAAATTTTTCACGCTTAGGGCTAATTAAATAATGCATACTTTATTTAAATAACGCTTATATTAGATATTGGGAGCTACAGTGATAGTTAAAATTCAAATAAATATTATTTTAGTATAAAATCAAACTTAAGTGCATTCACAATTGGCCTTTAATAGACATTCTTAATAATATGGTAAAGCTTATAAACAAATTTAATTAAATACTCCTCCATGAAACCGTTATTTTTTAAAAATAATATTAATAAATTATTCTAAAGATTATCTTAGTATTCAACTTTTACTTTCAGTGTAATTTATTTATTATTGTTTGTGGTTTTTTTATGTTGTTTGTGACTATAATTTGCATAATAAAGTTGTGGGCTTGGCTAAACAATGTTTGGATTTATTTTTAGTATCTTGCGATGATTTAAATTCACTGCTCTAATATTTTGACAACAAATAATCTTATCAACACTTCCTCGGTTCTAGTTAAAACAGTAAAATATATGCAAAATTAAATAAAAAACTTTTTGTTGGGCCAATAAATTTTTATTTTATATACACGGGTTTCATATCAGTGTGAAAACTTATCTGTGGTTTTTCGAATGAATCGTTTTTTAATCTTTTAAATCAGTGTACATTTTTTGAAAATTTTATTTTAATCAGAAAAATGTACGTCATTCATGTTCGTAATGATGTCGTTAACGTGACTGTAATTGGAATCAATATAAAGAGAATTAATCTTCATGAAAAAACTATTCATGTAAACTATATTTTATTCTTATTGTAATAATAATGTTAACTTGATTTACTTTTTATTTCTTAAATATATAACGCATCTTTTATTTATTCTCAGCCACATAATTTTGGATTTAGATTAGTTTTGCAACTTTTCGCTTCTTATGTTATGTATTATATATTATACAAAATCACAAGATACACATATAATAATGTATAATAAAAGTAATGAATATCCTTCTAAAAAAAATTTAAAGACAAGTCTTTCATTTTGACTCTAAAGATTTTACTGGGTTTGTAGTTTTTAGTAAATGATCCATTAGATTGGCTTAAGAATTACTTTAAACACATTTATTTTCCTGTCGATAAAACATTTTGGGCTGCTTCTTTTAAGCCTAAACATTTGAAGAAGACCAATTTATTTCATTGCAATTTGTAAGCATGCTCTTAGAAGAGAAAATGTTTTAGAATACTAAGGTGAATAAAAATTTACACTACACTTCACAAAAAATATTTCATGGTTTAAACACCAAAACCGTATTGGTTTCACCGATAGTTAGATAAAGGTAGCTTGGTATTATAACAAACTAATATTTATACTTAAGTGAATTTCGTAGCAAAAATTGCCCATACAAACCTAATCTAAATAAAGGTAAAGAATCTAATGACATAAGAATACGTTCAGATACAATAAGGGAATACCGAAGATTGCATTCTAGTGAATTTGAGAGTGTCAGCACTTTTTCGAAGTTATATATTCGGTTATTTAAGAGATTTGTTTGCGTTCAAATGTATTTATACTGAGAGATCTGTTAGCATTTTTGATATTGAGTAGAATCAAACTTTTTCAATGGCCTTACAGACTTGGCGTTACCCTTGCTTGCTTTACTGGATTTAGTAATTCTAAGTATTAATGCAGTACAATAACTAAATATTTCGGTTCTTATTTAAGGATTGAGTTCATATATTTTTGCAGATTTTGAACAATTTTGAATATACTAATAGTACATTCACACTGTCTTACTTAGGCACTTACTCATTTATATTAATAAGTGAACGTTCACATTATTATGAGCTTATTTATGCAGCTTATGGAACAGAATAATATGTCACACAAAAAAAATTATATATATTATTGATATATTAAATCATTTATTGATGAATTTATAAAACGCTTGTGTTCTCAGTATGTTTGTTAAGAGCTCAGCTGTTGATGTTTACATTTTACATATAAAACATATAACAAATATTTAAAATTTTGGTAATTTCCCTTGTAGGAAATTTATTTTTAGAGGTTTCATTCGACATTTTTCGCCTAAAGTGAGCTGATTTATTAATAATGAGCTCATTTATATGAAAGCTATTTGTATGATAAACCATTCTCATTAGTAACCTAAATGAGACAAAGTGAATGTACTATTAAACAAATTTTTAATATATTGGATACCAATTATCTGTCTATAACTATAGTGATTATTACGTTGATATACGAAAATTGTTCTATATAGACTACAGTATTTGATGTAGTGGATACGTCACTTGTGTCCAACAAATTCATTATAATGTACATAACAATATTAAGTTTCACCACGTTTTACAAAATAGTTGGGAAAAATTTATAGTTATTTACAGATATGTGTTATGTTGAATATATAAGAATTTGTTTTAAAATTAATGCAGTGCTTTCATATTAGTTTATTATTATATTGAAATTAAAAAACCTGTTGAATGCAAATCAGTTTTCGATTATTTCAACTTCTGCCACTTGACACGTTATCATAAAAACTCTTAAAAATTTCCGATGCTGAAAAAACACAATATGTGTTATGTATATGTGTTTTATAAATATTGTTTGATCAACGTAATCAACTAATTAAAGCTAAAAAATCCCTATAAGCAATAAATAATAAATACGTCAAAATAGAAATCATTTTATGATTTTACAGTCTGTTCAGGAACTAAAATATTTATATTATATATAGCATTTGTTTAAACTAAGATCAATTTGCTTTCGAAAAATAATCTCTTTAATCAATTGCATATGAATATACTAAAGCTATTGGTATGTAGAATAGTTCTTCAGACATTGGCCTAGTAACATTATTTTGCATCATCTAGTAAAATAGTTCTGATTATACGCGAGATGTCTACTAATTCATATGCGGTCTTAGTGTAAATATTTGCAATATTATACATAAAGAGATAAGCTGACTTTAAGCTGATATTAAATGAAATTTAAATTTAGATTTTTATTTTTGAATTTTTTTGCTTAGTTTCTATCAAATATATTATAAAAAATATAAATATTTTTTATTTCATTTAATTCACACTTATGACATCTCTTGAACTGTGCTTATCAGTATGCACATGACAGAACATTTATGATTATAATTGCTATTTAAGGCAGCAATCAGTTTGCGGACATGTCATGTCTGAAATTCGCACTACAGTTGAAATATGCATTATTAGTTAACAGTAATAGAACAGTTAAAAATGATCTTGTTTCAGGTCTCGTATAATCACTATAATCAATACCTACTTTAAGTAAATTGAGGGCTAATTTTAGGATACATACTCTTAAGT